AAAAATACCAGCAAGAGAGGACAGCATGCTGGGGCTTTGGGTTTCAGCCCCTCTTTGTCCCTTTCAGGTGATGGTTGAGAGCAGTGCCAAACGAGTTATCCAGCTGGCTGCCCAGTGGGAGAAGCACCGAGTGCCGCTGATCCAGGAATTTCGGGACCTCAAGGCCCTTCACGATTCCAAAGAGGTGACAGTGAGCAAAAGAGTGTGAACAGATCCCCTTCCTCAAGGTGTGAAAGGCTTGACCTTTGTTCTTTGCCTTCCTTTGCAGATGGAGTCCTCTCAGCGCCTTTCAGAGATCAGGGAACTGCATGAGCGGATTCGATCAGCCGCAGATGAGGCTAAGCGCAAGGATGAGCTCTACAAGCAGCTGGTTAGTGGTTTAAAGCAAAGCAGAGCAGCTTCATTTATATACTGCTTCATATCACGCTATGGGATGTCTAAGCGGTTTACAACTGTAAGCTCATTGCCCCCCAACAGCTGGGTATTCATTTTAGCGACCTTGGAAGGATGTAGGCCTGAGTCAAGCCTGAGCCCTGGCTAGTATTGAACTCACAACCTTGTGGTCTATGAGTGAGTGGCTGCAGTACAGGCATTTAAACACTGCACCACCAGGCTCTTTTATATGGGGTTTATATGGGAGTTATATGGAGTTCACATGCATGCAAAGCAGAGTTCAGCATGTAAGAGGCGGTTACCAGGATGCAGGCTTTTTCCAACATGAGCTTTGAAAGCTTGCAACATGTATATTGTGCATTTTGGTTGATCCAATAAAAATATTACTATTTTGGAGGATTTGGATGTTACTACACTTTGCTTTATGGCCCACATGGCTATCCCTGGATATATACCTACATGAGTGTGATTCTACAGAGTATCACCAGAATCTTTCTCCCCAATTCTACTGTCCCTTTACTCTTTGTAATGAGAATATACTAGCTAACTTGGCATGGGTAACATATTATCTGATAAATGCTTACCATCTCCCTTTATGCTGGAAGGACATAGGCAAATTGTTACTTTACTAGGTAGAATACAATTATGTCTAATACTTTTGCTTGCTACATATTTACAGAATTCAAATATCCCTTGCTTTGGGCCTCCCCCCCCCCTTTCTTTCTTTCTTTCTTTTTCTTTTTTTCTTTCTTTCTATTTTTTTGGTCCTGGAGTGTTCAGCCTACCGAGTAAAGCTTCAGTGCTGAAGCAGACCTGGGCAAAGCCTTGGGACTGCATGTTCTCATAGCCCTTCTTTTCCTTTATGGCCAAGAGAAGGGGCCTGGCAGAATTTAATTTCACTTTCTAGAAATGCGGCTTCTTGCATCAGACCCAGATATCATAACAAACTCTAGCCAGGTTCAAAACATGCTAACTGGAAATCCTAGATTGTTTCACTCATTGAACCTGAATTTCTATTAGAGTACAATTTCAAAAGGTAATCACAAGCCAGCTTTCCTAGAAAATGAAATAAAACTTGGCTAGATAAAAAGGCAGGGGAGTGAGTCTTGAGGTTTTTGTCAGGTTCATTCCATTTTACAGGAGTAATGCTAAATATTGGGTTAACGTTCCATGCAAAATTGTTCACTGTTAGCCAGCTTCTCATGGTCAGCCTTTGTCTGGCTTATACTCCTTTAAAAAAAAGAAACCAGACCTTTCAGAGAAATCTAGCCTATCCCGGAAATATAGCCTGAGCTTGGAGAAGTAACATTTCTGAATTATCACTCCCAATTGCTGTTCCAGCAAGGGGATTCTAGGAGTTGTAATCACAAAATATCTTCCCCAATCTCCAGAAAGAGCATGCTAGTTTCGTCTGTACAGGGATTTTTATGTACTTGGAAGAACATTCAGTAATGTGGGCCCCTACCTCCAATTTAGTATGGCCTAGTGTGGTGTAGTGGTTTGAGTGTTGCACTGTGACTCTGGAGACCAGAGTTCAATTCTCAGCTTGGCCATGAAACCCACTAGGTGACCTTGGCCAAATCGTATGCTCTCAGCCTCAAGGGAAGGCAATTGCAAGCCTCCTCTGAACAAATCTTGCCAATAAAACCCCATGATAGCTTCACCTTAGAATTTCCATAAGTCAGAAACAACTTGAAGGCACACAATAATAACAAGAAGAAGAAGATGGAAATTTATTGCCTAGATGAGAAATAAACTTCTGAGGTCTGTACAGTGGTCTGGGACTAAATCCTGCACCCCCTGAAGAAACCTTTCCTTATTTTGGCCAGTCCCATTCTGGTTTTCATTCTGTTTGTAGGTTGTGGAGCTGGAATCACTTCCTAAAGACGTCTCTCGCTCTGCCTATACCCAGCGCATCTTGGAGATTGTCAGCAACATTCGGAAGCAGAAGGAGGAGATCACAAAGGTAGGAAACTCAACACATCTGAGCAGTTCTTCCTTGAAAGTTAAGTCTACTATATGCTGTTAGTGCCTCCCAATAATATATCTGGACTGTACCACTTCAGACTGAGGGTGGGATGGAAATGACTATTTCCATGCTCTCCCTGAATTTAAGACAACAGCAACAAGACATTTTGCATCTAGAGAAGTAGCTTATAAAGGCTGTGCTACTCATCTGGATTTAAATGTGCAGGAAGCTCTATACATGAAGGGTGCTTTCAAAAACCTAATTCGCCAACAAATTGGAATAGCACAGTCCACAGGAACCCATATCATATGGGTTTCTGACTGTGTGTTTTGCATCTTTGGTAAATCTTAGGGCTGATAGCTTCATGTGATAACTTGCAGCTGTGAAATGGTTCTCCTGGACCAATCAACAGTGAGTTTTCCTATGTGTTTCAACCACAGTTCTTCTCAGCAGTCAGCTAGCTCTTCATGCTCTTAAACTGAAAGTTATTAAGGGATGTAAAGTGAGCTCTTGGTACCCACTGGGATTTGGTTACAGGACCCACCCACCCCACCCTGTGGATACCAAAATCCACAGATGCTCAACTCCCAATGCCATAGTAAACTTGTCCGTTATATAATATGGCAAAATCAGGGTTTGCTTTTTGGAATTTTTGTTGTTGTTGTTGCATATTTTCAAGCTGGTTGAATCCATGGATGCAGAATCTGTAGATATGGAGGATGGACTGTACATACATGTGAGAATGTGCCCCTCCTTTTAAAAATTATTCTTACCTCCTAAATAAAGCACTGTAGCTGTTTTGCCACTAGGAGGCAAAATGTTTCCTAGCTGCAGCCTTGATCAGGAAACAGTAGAACAATTTCCTGTTGTCTGGTTTGTACCGTAGAGATGGAAACAGTCACTAGATCAGCGGATCATTGTTATCCTGGTATCTTGTCTATAACTATACCAAACTTCCATTCAAACAATGCTATACAAAGCATGGTGCATTTTGTCTATTGAAATAACAAAGGATAGAATATTACCACCCTGCCTCCATAATCACAATCAGTGTTAGTTTTCACCTTCTCTGCTCCCAAAATTCAGACTATGTATAATTATGGGGATGAAAACCACCACTAGTTATACAGAGCCTGAACTTTAGGAGCAGAGAAGGTGAAAACTAACACTAATTGTGATTATTATTTATTGTATTGCCACAGATCTACCACTGGTTTATTGTTATCACTTGTATTGCCACAGATTTGCCTTGGTAGTTATAAATGGACTATCACTGTTATATATGTATGTCCAAACTTGTCCATGTGGTGGGAGTGGCACATCAGAACCTATTCCGCCTAGATTCAGATATGGAACTGGGACAGGGAGTGAACAGGGATGAATGTGCATCTTTCTAAGTAGTGCTGGGAGGCCTCTGCATCTTTAGGGAGCATCTGTAGTTTCTGAAGTGGGTCCAATTGAAAATGGCATGTACTTTCATCATGCTAGCAACTGTGGCATAGAATCATAGATCCTTTGGTTTATCATCAATCTGTGCCATTGATTGAGCTATCTTACAACTGAGGAAGTCATGGGATTTGCAGTCCTCTAGAAAGGTAGGATTGGCATGTGTGTGTGTGTGTGTGTGTGTGTGTGTTTAAAGCACCTGATATTGCCCCTGTATCCAGTACATTTTGTTTAACGCCAAGAGGTCACACAGATTGGCATTGTAGGGATGTGCCTTAAAGATGATGCCTTCAAGAATTACAGCTTTTAGATGCAGCTAAAAGTTGCATTGATGTGATGGGGGGGAAGTTGTTCAAGTGTTTGCACTTTCTCTGCTCAGGTTTTAAATGTTTGTGAATGTTCCATCTTTGGGACTAAACTAGACAGAAGTAGATATATGGGTTGAAATGCAGGACTGCCTCAATTGCATAGGAGGCAGCAAAATGAACCCCAAGAGGATCATGCAGATGAGGGCACTGAATCTCATTTGAATCTTACCTGTGGCTCCCCTCCCCTCAGTCTATTCTCACCATTGTGCTTTTTTCTCAGTCAAGCAAATTGCAATGCTATAAGCCAGGGATAGGCAACCTTTCCCCTTTAAGGGCCGAGGGACTTCAGCTCCCAGAATCCCAGGAGCTATTGGCCAACATGGGACTATTAGCCAACATGGCTGAGGCTTCTGGGAGTTGAAGTCCCTCGGCCCTTAAAGGGGAAAGGTTGCCTACCCCTGCTATAAGCTATATTTACTGGTAGAAAAGAATTTTGATGAAAAGGATTCAGGGTGGTTTCAGCAGTTCTCACCCGCTTGTCTCCTTGGCTACTACAGTTGCTATGATCTTGAAGGTGTTCCATGTTCTACACACATGAATTTATCATTTGGTCCTCAGCATGGCTAGTTCTAGGTTTTAGTGGTGCTCCCCATATATCTTACCTATCGATACACAAAAGGTAGATACAGGAATCCATGCAAACATATACAGTCCCCATTTTCTCTCTCTGTTTTATGTATGTGTTTAGTCTGCACATGTATGTGCATGCACATAAACCTGTAGACTTCCTAATACTAACCCACAAGATGAAGACATGCATGCATACATAACACTCCCAGGCAGATAAGAAAATCAAGAAAGTGTCTCTTGTCATGTACTAACAAAGGACAAAATATAGGTACACATGCTTTCTGGTCCCTTTCCCTCTCTGTGTCTTTGTTCTTCACTGCCAGCATGGCTGTTACCAAGTTTGGTCAATTCTAGTGGGTTGCTAGGCTCCTGGCCAGATGTGCAACCTGTGAAGGATGCCATTGGAGTCCATCTGTCCAAGATGTTTAAGTGACAAATGGTTAGTAGACTAAAAATTCAGTCACACTACTTCCAGTGGTCCTCATAGTCTCCAAGGCCTTTGAATATGTGTACCACTTGTGTAAATGTCTGATCACCGAGGCATTACAAAGAGTTTTTCAGCATTGTCCGTAAGCAGAGTTACCGACTGTCTTGTGAACCCCTGAAGGTGCCTGGCCATGCTGACCGCCAAGGCTAGTACTTGCTCAAAGCCTGGAAGGCATGATATTTTTTATTTTAGGAAGCCTCTCTTTTTTTCAAAGATATTTTTCAAAGGTATTTTTCATTTCCATCTCCATTTCTAAAGCTTCATTTTCTTAGTTCCTGTTTTTAGTTTTTTTGTTCTTTTGTTTTGCTTCTCCAGATCTTGTCTGATACCAAGGAGCTTCAGAAGGAGATTAATGGCCTCACTGGGAAGCTAGACAGGACCTTTGCTGTCACTGATGAGCTGGTCTTTAAGGTGAAGTCTGGGACCTTAATGGGAATCAGGGAATGGGGGATTCCCATTAGCTGGCCTTCCAGTCCTGAACTTTTTCTATGTGTCTCCTCCACACTACTTTCTATAGGATGCCAAACGTGATGAGGCTGTGAGGAAGGCATATAAGTATTTGGCAGCCTTACATGAGGTGAGAGGCTTCCTGCAGCAATGATTATGTCATCCACAACAACCAGCATGCCTACCTTCCCTGCTGCAAGCTCTCCCAGGACCCTTCCCAGCTGATGCTGTCTCTTCTCTCTCCCATAGAATTGCAGTCAGCTGATCCAGACTATTGAAGACACAGGCACCATCCTACGGGAAATCCGGGACTTAGAGGAGCAGGTCAGGCTTACCTCAAGGGATGTGGGCACAGGAAATTATTGTGGTTCTCAGATATATGGGCAGCGCTGTCTTTCAGTAGGAGATGACAGCAAAGATAGGCTTCTTTGCTCAAATTCTAAGAATCTTTTTGGCATTTCCTTCTTTAAAAAGAACAAAAAATGCCTGCCTCTCATGCTTTACTACGATTCTTCTCTTGCTTCTCTTAATTTTCTTTGTTATAAAGTTTGTCAGTTCTGCCATGACTTTACTGAGATAAAGCTTGTGAATGTCCATACCTAAATATTTTGGATTTCACTATTAGTTCTGTATCATTAATTGATTTGTGCAGTCGTGCTATACATTTAGTGAGTACTGGGAAAATTTTAACATCCTGAGAGTCTTGGCTTCCATTTAACAAACAGGCAAGTCTGTCATCATTAAGGCTGCAAATAAAAAGTCTGTGGATGGATGAGCAGATTCCCAGTGTATAGGACAGGGGTAGGCAACCTTTCCCCTTTAAGGGCCAAGAGACTTCAGCTCCCAGAATCCCAGGAGCTATTGGCCAACATGGGACTATTGGCCAACATGGCTGAGGCTTCGGGGAGCTGAAGTCCCTCGGCCCTTAAAGGGGACAGGTTGCCTACCTCTGGTATAGGAGATGGAGCTTCTTTGCCCTTCCCCACAATGAGTGGGATCTGAATTATCATGCCTGAAAGTGAGCTTGAGATCCACTGCATTTTGTAATGCATACAGTGTTACACAACTGATACACACTATGGTTTGGAAGCAGGTTGGTGTTTAATACTTTCTGATTTAACAAGCATTCTCTGTTCAGGAGCAGAAACAGCAAATGTTTTTTTTTTTTAAAGATTCTTGACCATAACAGCACAGTAATAAATGGAGTAATTGGAGTCCTAGCTTTGACTGGCACTTGCTGCACAACACTGCCAGAGAACTAGGGTT